CTCTCACAAAGCTTTAAGTCCAGTGGAGGAGACAGAGTAAAATAACTAGGCAAGAAATGAATAATTAACAATATAGATAATGCTCTAAATATACTTCCCTGAATGCAAGTAACAAAGAAAACTAAGCTATAATGGCATTTGAAGAATGCAAAGAAGGTAACTAGGTTAGGCAGTTACTTTAGGAGACAGTGGGTATATATGCAGAAACTGAAACTGAGTAATACTCACTGCCCCAAGCCCTTATGCCTCCCTCCATCTTCCAGACACTTGTATATAGCAAAACATACAATATCACATACTCCTCAATTACGTGAAAAAACATACTTTCATACACATTCTTTAGCCACACGTTTTCATATATTTACTTCCTGTGTGGATCATTCACTTTTCAATAACTAAGAAAAGCTTCCTGAAGCAATAGGCACAGCATTTATCTAGTACATGATACGTTAGCAGAGTGGACACTCAATAAATAATGCTGACTATTAAAAGGATAATATCACAGTACTTGGCAACTTTTTTCTTATCATTACATAGTGTATAGCATAAAAACAGAATCATCTGCAATTATGGAATTTATTTAAATATGCCACCTTGAAAGTGCTAAGTGCTACAAACAAAATAAAATAGGGTATGTGATAGTGTTACTGGGTGGAGGGGGCTACTTTGCTAGGATGGTCTGGAAAGAACTCTCTAAGGAACTGTCTATATGAGTCTAAGAACAGGACATTGAAAATGACAAAGCCTGATGATGTGGAGAAAGAGTATTTCAAATAGAAAGAATAGTAAGTGCATAACTCCTGAGATGGGAATAAGCTTGACATGCTGGGAGATCAGAATGATAGCCAGTAAGGCCAGACTGCGGTAAAGGAAAAAGAAAGTATGAGAAGGTGAGATCAGAGGAGTAGGCAGCTAGGTGACCAAATCATATAGGGCATTGAAGGCCATAGTGGAGAATTCAAATTTTATTCTACATGTAATGAGAAGCAATTTCAATATCATCCAAATTATACCACTCACAGTAGTTAGATAAATTTACTTTGACCCATTTGTATTTTCTGGTTTCTCTATCCTCTATTCTTGTCATTAGGAGTATACAGAAATGGGGTTAAGGGTGGAGTTTATGACATTAAAATAGAATTATTTTATGTAAGGTTGTTATATTTTGGGACTGAAACCATGAGTATAATTCCATAACATTTATTAACTATCACATCACTACACTTTTACTAAAATAATAAAAATTTTGTTGTTATTCCTTAAATTTGTTTTTGAATTCATTCTCCAGATTATATTTAGCATATAGTTCTTTGGAAAGTAAAGTATATTGCAATTTTATTCCTAAATAAAATAAAAAAATAGGAAATATTAAAATCAGACCAAATAGGTCTATAAAGCTCATTTATTTGCAAAATTATTGGGATCAAATTTCAAAAAAGAAAATGAACTGCTGTCTATTACACTAACAGTATTCCAGAAGCAACCGACTTAAATAAAGGGCTTTCCAGCCCCTCTTTTGGGGGGTCCAGGAAATGAAAAACAGACTAGAGAGTCCAACTAAGTATGTTACAATTATCTGAACTTGATCTTTACCAAACTCCTAAAAGGATGATTCAGTACCTATGAAGCAGAGTATCAGCGAGTGGCTAGAACAAGGAGACAGAGGAAATGAGACAAGCTCCTGTGAACACTTTATACCAATGCTTGCAGCACTTTTGATTTTTTAGGGGTGAATAAACTCAGTTAAGTGGAAATTATTTTTAACCATTTTCCATCAATCTTCCTCGGGTAGAGATAATTTATAGAACAGATGGCTTGAACTGGGGTTATATCAGGATTTTTTGATATGGTGGTATAATATTTCTAAGAGAGACTACTTTGTTAGACTGAATGTTTGGTTAATTTGTTCAAAAAGTACAGTCTATGTTGTAAAAATTCTGCTGCTACTGTCTTGAGCCTTGAAAAAGCTTCTCAACACAAGAAATAAAATGCTATACTTAAATAGGTTCAAAGATATTTACCTCTTTCTGAGAAAAGAAAATGCTTAAAAATAATTTACAAAATCACCACACATTTTAAATAAAAAGTGAGAACTAAAATTAGTTTCTGTAAACTAGATATAAATGATTTTTTCCTTTCAAGTTTAAAACAAAGAGCCAGAGTCATAAATAATTCCAGCTTGCCAGAGGCATGGCTATTTCTTTATACTGACTGTCGACTATCTAATTTAATTAGAGGTATTAAACTCCATGCTGAGGTCAACGAGCCTTACATCCTCCAATATTACACTTCAACCAGTGCTCATTAATGTGTCTACTGAATGGATTAACACACTAAAGATATATGTACAAAGGAAAGGGGGACAACCTAATGATATCCAATTGTTCATTTGTAATAGGACACATGTTCTAGGCCTCAACTTATTACCTCTAATGTGGAATTTATTAAATTCAGGAGAAAAAATGCCAATACAGAAAGTGATTTTTTATTAAGGGGAACTGGTATAAAACAACTGGTTTCTATGATTAAATTTAAACATTTAAGCTTTTATTAAAAAGAAATTGATACTATAATAGAGCTAAAATATAAGCCTGTTACTTAGAAAAATCCTACATACTAGCACTCTGAACAGCAGATTAAGGACAAGAGTACTATAGAAGAGGGAAAAGGAAAATTCAATATATAGAGTAATAAATGTTACATTCTTTTTATTTCTATGAAAAGGTTTAGAATAGTTATACTGTTTCTGAGGCCAGGTAAAATTTTCCTTGATACTGAATTAAGTCCCAATGTTGACAGAGTAGATTTTACTTAAAGTGATTTAAATTGCTATTCAAAAAAATATACCTTCCAAAGTAATATTGCTTTATTACATTTGTTTACAATTTTGATAGGTTTTACTTTTGCATGGTAGGTTTTACTTTTGTATGATTTTACTATATATGTGAAAGCAGTGACATGTGAAATTTCAAAATAGTTGGAGATTAAACAACACACTTCTAAATAACACATGGGTCAAAGGTTCTAAAGAGAAAATAAAAAATATTTTTAACTAAATGAAAATAGAAAAGTTCTGGAAAAGGATACTAGTGATGGGTGTATAACAGTAAATGAACTGTATGTCAATAGACTTACATTAAAAAATAGTTAAAATTAGGCAAATTTTATGTTGCATTTACATTTTACCATATTTAAAAAAACTCTTTCTATACTTATATATGAAACTATTAGTGTTCAAGGTTTAATCCCTCAAAATTCCAGTACTCAAAATATTCACCACTTAAAAGTATAATTTCAATTAGAACTCAACCATTTAACAATTTTTAAATGGTGTTATCATCTCCAAAATTCATTTTGTTATGATAGTCAACTGCTAAACATCCATTTCAGATTTTTCTTGAAAACCCTTGTGAATGTTATAAATGAAATAAGAAATCTTACTTATTTGACATTTCTACAAAGGTCACAGGGATGAAAGTTTAAGTACCATATAATGATCAGTTTTAATATATTGAAGTAAAAATATTTTGACATGATTTTTTTTTTAAAAGCATTTTAACAAAAAATGATATACTTTATTCTGCTCTTATGTTTGTAATCTAAGATACTATTAATTTTAGACTGCTCTGGTATATAAAAGTGGTATCCATGGAGCCATGAAATGATAATGATAAATATGAGTCACTGCCAAAATATACTCATAATTATCTCTAATTTGGGTATGGCTTATTTTCAGAGAAATAAAATGAGTTGATGGAATAAATGTTTGTTGGCATTGACCCCTGGCTCCTGCTAATGAACTTCCCAAGGGATTCCAAGGTGGCCGTGGATTAAGTGGAAGCTACATTGACACCCTCCCAGGACCAAACTGGAATTACAAATAAAATATAGAAAAACCACCCTGAATAATCAACTGAAAACTAGCTGGAGAGCACTCTCATAACCCAGGACCTAAAGCGGAGACTGCATAGAGACTGGTAGGAAGTTCGGAGGCTCGAGGGGCTGGCTGGGCTCCCACAGGCAGCAGCTGAAGGCCCAGAGGGCTATCTCAGCTGTGGGGCGTTTCCACTGAGGACTCTGGGGCCTAAACCCCAGGCTCGGCTTCCCAGCCAAGAACACCAGAATGGAGAAAGGTGCCCACATAACATCTGGCTTTGAAAAGCAGCAGGACTTCTGTCTGCCAGGGAGAGACAGCTGGAAATGCAGGCACCCTCTTAAAGGGCCAATGCACAAAGTTTCCTGTGCAGCCAGTCACCGTGGGCTCCAGTGGAGGGAGGGCAGAGTGGACTAGAGCAGTGTGAGGAGAATTCAGGGTTGTGGGCTCTGGAGATAGAGCTCAAAGGGCAGCCATCTGGATTCCTGTGCTGAGTAATTCCCCCGTCCGGCAGAGGACATCTTTCTCAGGCAGACCTTTGCCAGTCAGACAGCTTTTGCCT